AGAACAGTGGAATTGCCATTTAACATGATGTTCACATGTTCATATTTTTTGGTAATGGGTGATAATGGAATGCTAACCCTGCCTGCGCTATCAGTACACGCTGGCGGGGCACCAGTGAGGGATGATAGGTGACGATGAAAGCAGGTCAGTTAGCCCATCGTGTTGAATTCCATTAGAATTAACCATTATTAACGGCGCTGGTAAGAAAAAAGGCCAGGGATAATAATAAAATAATAATATTAGAGAGGCTTACCAGTATAATTTCCTTAAGACCGTAAGACGTGAACAATATGTCGTGAAGCAGCTGTGTTTGCATGCCTGTGTTTCGGTTTGAAAGGTGGGATATGGCGTGAATTTACTGGGTACAGAGGAATAACACCTGAGTCCTCAGAAATGGCAACGCATGGGGGTATCATGGGCGAAACAGTATACTCTGTTATGTCCATAGTACTACTCATGTCTATAGGCGACTGTTACCACTTTCCATCAAGTGGGCCGTCACAGCTTGTTTGCCATTCTAAGTTGTATAAAAAAAATCTCGTATCCGTTTTCATGTATCTCTTACCATTGCAGAGATAGCTGTTGCGTTAGTAAATTTGATAGTCGGAATCAGCGTCACTCAAACCCTTTTTTTTAACGAGACACCACGAGCAAGCAAGAAAATCAGTGAGTTAAACCCAACAAACCTTTTTTTTATGCAACTTAGAATGGAAAACGAGCCGACGACCCACCTGATGGAAAAAGTCCGCGAGATAAGCCCTCCCTTGCTAACAACTTGTTAAACTAACTAAATTTTACTTGGAACTGTTTCAATATTGGGTCAATTTTAGTTTATCTATTACCACGTGGGCTCAGCATAGAACGGCACAGCTCGGCCTTTCTTTCCCGTGGGTTTTGTAAGAGGCGACTAAGGGAGGGCGAGGGATAATCGAAAGCAGCAGCGTCCCACTTAAACATTTCCAAGGCTTGACTACAGTTGCCAATCCGCCTACCAAACGTGGCAACTACTTGAAAACTCTACAAGGGGGAAGCTTATGTTCAACAGTGGTTAGTTTAAGGCTGATAATGATGATGACGATGTTTATTTAAAAGTAACTCTGAAAATATTTTTCAGTAACAAATATGCGGTTTACATTTTTTTCCGATAACCTTACCTATTAAAGAGCCAATAAAAACTTGTAGGTTTATATTAACTGGTTTTCTATAGAATATTGAAAGTAATCCATTATAAGCTGAGCCCTGTCAATCATGCTTACTATAAAGCGAGTTCTGGGCTTCTTTATCGCATAAATACAATACAAAGTATGAAAAATGTCTATAAATTGAACGGTGTACATAATAAAAGGGTATCTTGATAATCTCCTTCCTATACCAATATTGATGTCGTAATTATTTTACAAATTTCTGTAGTAATTTAAACGAAATTTCAAATAAGGTGATTATTTTATTTATTCATTTAACACTTTATTGCACCAGACGCATAAAAATGTACAATATACAATTAGAAAATTCAAGTGAAATACACTAGCATGAAGTACAAATTAAAATATGTACATAAAGGTACAAAATGTGGTCTTATCGCTGGAGCAATCTCTTAAAGACAACCTTTGGTTAAATATGAGCATTTTGATATTATAATGAATGATTTATATCAAAAACATCATCATTATCAATAGTTAGACCAATAGTTTTTTTTTATGCAACTTAAAATGGCAAACGAGCTGACGGCCCACCTGATGGAAAGTGGTAACCGTCGCCTATAGACATGAGCGGTACTATAGACATAACAGAGTATACTGTTTCGTTCATGATACCACCCATGCGTTGCCATTCCTGAGGACTCAGGTATTATTCCTCTGTACCCTGTAAATTCACTGCCATATCCCTCCTTTTAAATCGAAACACAGGCTTGCAAACACAATTGCTTCATAGTAGAAACACGAATGGGACAGAAGTGTCCAAGTAAACGACTTTTGTACAAAGTATCCCTTTGGTATATAAAATTTTTAAAATAATAACGATTAAAATATTTTTCTGTCTGTCTGTATGTATGTTTGATAAGGTAAAAACTGCTACTACTACTACCAAATTGGATATGATCTTAACAGTTATATTTCTAAACGTCTACTTTAAAATTTGGTATATGTTTTATCATAATATATTACCTAGAAGTAGTATATATCATTCGTTTTTCCTACATCTAAAATCAATGTGTAGCAAGCAGCAAACAATATATATATATATATATATATATATATATATATATATATATACACATACATACATACATACATAAATACGTACATATATATTTATTTATTTATTCATTAGTACAAATATGTGTACATGGCGGACTTACTGCTAAAAGCATTCTCTCCCAGTCAACCATAGGGAAGTGTCAGAATACTATACAGAATATATATACATATATACATTATTTTACTTTTTGTTTTTATATATATATATACATATTATTATAATTGTCCTATATTATCTCTGTAAATATGTTGAATATACATAAGTTTTTATCTATAAAATCGTTGGATAATTAAAATTGGAATCCCCATGTGAAATTATAACGTATAAATTTTCTGAAATAGGCCATCTCTAGAAAACGGGAGCGATGATACAATTTAAAACTTTAACACCCTATATATAAGATGTACATTTGATCGTTGGACAAAATTTAAATTTCCCCTAATGGATTGCGTAGCCATTAAAAAGTTGGATTGCCTATTTAACTGTCAAAATGAGGAGACTGGAAACAACTTCCTTAATTGTTCCGCTTTCATCAAACATTTTACCGCTGTTTAAATTTCAATCATATACACCAGATACTATATATCCCTTAGCCCTAGTACATACATACATAGTAGCAAAAACATAAAATTTTATACATCTCTAATTATATAATTAATTATTTAACCTGGCAAACGTTTTTGCATCCTATTTTACACATATCGGAATAAAAATTATCCTATCTCTCGATTTAGAAAAATAATATAAAATTAACTTTCTTTTTATTATAAATAATAATAATAATTGGTTAAAAAGCATGAACAAACAAACATGGCGATAGGGAATTTTTTAATTATAAGAATGCCTGCTGCCTAGTTGCTGTGCGGTACCGATTGTTAGCCCATAAGGTACTAGGAGCGCAGAACTACGCGGAAGTTCGTAATATTGCGCGGTTTTAGTCGATAGATAATACAAAACAAATCATGCGTAATATTAAAACCTCCTATCTTCATTCTGTTTTCCTAGTACTTCATAAGAAATAAACTAAATAGAAACCGTACGTTTTCAAAGTAACATTTTTTTTTAATTACACTATTTTTGAATCTGTTTTAATAATAGCCAATATTTTTTTTTCTAAAAGGCATTATTTTACAGATAATAATAATATAAGGCTAATATAAGGTAATAACAATAGTAGTCAATATACGTGTGTCGACAGTCGCATGCATACTAATGGGAGCGGAATTAAACAAAATAAATAATTAACTAACCATTAATATTTTCTTTTGCGAATCAATTATTTCATGTTTCTAATATTTTGCGTATTTAGTATATGAAATAATAAATTATAAACTTTTTCCAACAGTTTTAGTAATTCGAACTAAGTTAAAAAATTAAGAGGTTCATAAGTTTCAAGTGTTTTCAATTCGATTATATATTTTAAACTACACGACAACTTTAACTATTCGACTAAAAATGGAACAGATTTTTGCAAAATATAGTCTCTTATTGATAACATTAATAAAAGGGAGACTTTATACAAAAGTCGATTGCTTGAGTACCTCTGTCCCATTCGTGTTTCAACTGTGAAGCAGTTGTGCTTGCATGGCTGTGTTTCGGTTTGAAGGGTGGGATATGGCGTGAATTTACAGGGTACAGAGGAATAACACCTAAGTCCTCAGAAATGGCAACGCATGGGGGGTATCATGGGTGAAACAGTACTATATACTCTGTTATGTGCATGGTATTGCTCATGTCTATAGGCGACGGTTACCATTTTTCATTAGGTGGGCCGTCAGCTTGTTTGCCATTCTAAGTTGTATAAAAAAAACATAATATTTTTGGAGAACTAAATATTAGAATATTTTCTGCCATATACTTAAAATGCCCATCGTATATTACTTCACAAATAATTAACTCGTGAAAGTTCAAAGAGGTACCCAATTATCTATAAGATATTAACATGTGTTGGCCTAAATCTTTATAACTCCTTGGAAAATTACATTTCAACGACTATTTTAAGATTGACCAGTTCAGTGGCAGCGCGACGATTGATTGACATATTTGCTTTGGAAAATGGACTACTGGCGTCGGTTTTTAATTTCTTGTTCGCTACCATTATATTATAATTAGGTTTGAATTTGCATTTTTTGCCAAGCAATTAACTCGACGGTCTGGTTCTGTTTTTGTACACGATTTTTATACGACTTTAATGTGTTGCTTATAATGGCAAATAAGCTAATAGCCCATTTGGTAGAGAGTAGCAACTGTCGCCTATAGACATGAACAGCAACAAGAATATCTCGAAATCATAACAAAGCTTATGGTGCCACCACGCGTTATACCTGAGGACAAAGATGCTTTCATACTTAGGACTTTATACCTTGTAATTTCAAATAATTTGGAATACAAAATAAGCTGACGAACTTAACCTGATGAAAAATTATACTCGTAATTCTTACTAACTTGAACAACATCATAAATACCGAAGAATACTCCGAGATGTTCACGCTTTGCTTTTCAAGGAAACTGCGAAACATGTGTCTGAGTAACCAGTAATTTCATTGCCATATCTTCAAATCGATTTATAGCCATACAAACGTGTCTAATTGATATCAGAAACTAGAGAATGACAATGTGAGTGATTTAAAAAATAATTATTGATGTATGAACGTATTAGAAATCCCAAAGTCAAGATCAAGGTCATTAATTTAAATCTGGGTTACGACTAAATGTTATTTAATTAAATAAACGAAACTTACCTCTATGAGGAACGTAGATGTTGAGGTACAAACAATCTTCAGACTCGTTCATGAGGAATGGTTTCAGACGGTTCATGTAATTCTGGCGTTCCAATGTTGGTGGGTTTCCCTTTTTTATTGACGGAAGGGATTGTGGGCAGACCGGGGCGAAGCGGGTCGCCATTTTTACTCCAGACCAAGGGAGAGCACTAACTGAAAGAAAACAAAAAAAAAAAAAGATTAATATCTATTATTTTTGATTTTTGATCGACGCACTCGATTCAAGTTAAGACGATCTATAAAATTAATCTATTCTAAATTGTTTTTTTTTTATACAACTTAGAATGGCAAACAAGCTGACGGTCTACCTGATGGAAAGTGGTAACCGTCGCCTATAGACATGAGCAGTACCATGGACATAACAGAGTATACTGTTTTGCCCATGATACCCCCCATGCGTTGCCATTCCTGAGGACTCAGGTGTTATTCCTCTGTACCCAGTAAATTGCATGTTTTTCATCTTATAAAAAAGTAATATGGAAATTATTTACTAAGCGCATGTCTCAAAATAGGGTATTATTATAATATTTAATATATATAAAATTATATGTGGGGTACTACGTAATACTAACTTTACATATATGTATATAATATATTCTCTAGCAATATAAAGGTTGTAAGCCTCTTAGTAATAAATAGAAATAAAGCACAAGTTTTTACAGTTCCTTTAATTTAGATATCATACTATTAAATCATGTATTTACTTATTTTACTTTATATTTGATATATAACTAATAATATAACATAAATATCCAACTTCTGTTAGTCCATTGACACTTATTTAAATATAGCTTTTTTAGGACTTCCATCAACAATAATTGTGATATATTTTATATAATGACCACGTGGTTCACTATACTTGTTCATTCTTGAAACGTCAGGGAGCTCTGCTCTGTACAACGGTTGGACAAGAAGTGTCTCCCCACCCAAATGACAATCTTTTATATCCACACGACCGAATTCGAGTGAACAAGTCAGTGAGACCACGTGTTGTTACAATTTCATTACTTTTTATTTAAGTATCGTGATAATAAATAATTATATAATCAATTAAAATATAAATTAGTGTTCTATATACATTACAAGAATAATTTATTACCAAATTTGGTATAATAACAATTTTAATACTTTATTATATTTAAAGTAGTTACTTTGATTTTTATTAATAAATGTAGGCACACATTTTGACACAAGATGTTTAAGAAAATTAATATAATTTAAAATAAATATCTAACATTGCACATGTAAGACGAGATGTGAAAATGGATGGTAAAACATACATATAATCGTAAGGATAAACTCTTTACCAAGCATGACTCGTTTTTCTCACCCTTTAAGCTCTTTTATTTTTTTTTTTATTTTCTATTTTCTGATGGATCGAATAGATTGACTTCTTCACTCGGCCTATCCATTTTTATCAGACACTCTTTCTTTTCATCCTTCCACTTTCAAATTTATTATTCTTTTTGTACAGAGGGCCTCAACGTTTTTCCTAATATGTAGATGAATAGATAGATACTCTTTATTGTTTCCTCCAAAAGATTACAATAATAAACTTATTATAAATATAAACAATTACAGGAAATAATCACAATGAGAAAACAATGGGCGGCCTTATCGCTAAAAGCGATTTCTTCCAGGCAACCTTTTGATGGAGAGGAGTAGTTACAGAGATAGTTTGATGAAACGGAGACATGCTGAAAATTCTGTTATGACCATATCTATTTAACATTAACATTCTCCCATCTTATTAGTTGCATCTCATTGGTACCACTTTTTGTTTTTTTTTTCTTATTTCTTACGTTTTTTTTTTAAAGTACCCCACATCCATTCATTCAGTATCAATCTCAGCATTCATATTTCCAATATCATGAAGATGGATTAGAAAATAACAAAGAGTTACAGTGAATTTACAGGGTACAAAGGAATAACATCTGAGTCTTCAGAAATGGCAACGCATGGGGGGTATCATGGGCGAAACAGTATACTCTATTATGTCCATGCTACTGCTCATGTCTATAGGCGATAGTTCTTTTTTTAATGGGTGATAATGGAATGGTAATCCCACCCGCACTATCGGTATACACCAGTGAAGGATAATAGGTTCGGATGAATCAGATCAGTTTGCCCATCGTGACGAATTCAACAAGGATTGTTTACGATGGTTTCCAGGGAATCACGTGAAGTCGAACTAATAGGGCATATTGCTAGCAATGGGGCTGTCAAACTCCATTGCTAACAATCCCTTTTCCCTCCTATAGGCGATGGTTAGGACTGTCCATCAGGTGGGCCGTCAGCTTGTTTGCTATACTAAGTTGTATAAATAATCCATGAATTCTAATTAAAATCTGTTCTATGTTCTATTCTTTATGTAGGGTTACGTTATAAAGAGTTTTATTAAATAATGTATTTCATGATACTTCTAACGGTTGAAGCGACGATAAATTAACATAGAAATGAAAAGTAAACCCAAGTAACCCACTGTATAACTTTGAAATTGCTAATTTTTAGGTAAAATGTTCATTGTCAGCGAAAATATGTATGCGATTTTATCTTTTTTTTTTATATTGTATTGAAAAATCTTTATTGTACATAATTTACATTGGTCACATTAAAAGATTTAATACAAAAGGATGTTTTGTTGCATCTCATCTTTAATGATATTGTTAAATGTTTCGTAAGCCAGAGGGAGACTTTGTACAAAAGTCGATTGCTTTTTTTTTTTTTTATACAACTTAGAATGGCAAACAAGCTGACGGCCCACCTGATGGAAAGTGGTAACCGTCGCCTATGGACATGAGCAGTACCATGGGCATAACAGAGTATACTGTTTCGCCCATGATACCCCCCATGCGTTGCCATTCCTGAGGACTCAGGTGTTATTCCTCCGTACCCAGTAAATTCACGCCATATCCCACCCTTCAAACCGAAACACAGCCATGCAAACACAACTGCTTCACGGTTGAAACATGAATGGGACAGAGGTACCCAAGTCGATTGCTTGGGTACCTCTGCATAGCTGCTCTAGCATAGGCGAAACAGTATACTCTGTTATGTTTATGGTACTGCTCATGTCTATAGGCGACGGTTATCACTTTCCATCAGGTGGGCCGTCAGCTTGTTTGCCGTTCTAAGTGGTATAAAAAAAAGCAGACGTTATATTTTAATATAATAACCACCGGTTCAACTTACGTGTGATTAGATCTAAAAAGCTCGACTAGTTCGGGAATCAATTCGTGTACCTTAGTTATGAGTGACTGTGACGCGAGCACGAGCCTGACTGCGTGCTGCGGCCCGCTGAGCGTAAGTGTAAGGATCACGAATTGATTCCCAAACTAGTCGAGCTTTTTCGATCTAATTATGCGTACGTTCAATTCAATTCAATTTGTTTATTCGCTACAATACTGCGTTGTGTTGAATTTTTTGCTACAAGTAACAAGAAGATATCATAAAATATAACAAAACAAAAAAAAAAATAAGAAGCAACAAAGCAACCAATAATAATTGTCAAAAATAACATTACAATCAATTTACAAATGTCATTAGTAAGGAATAAAATACTAAAAGAGTATTTTAAAATTCATCAATTGAGTAGATGCACCTTTCCAACATACGAGTATAAAGTTTTATTTACAAAATTCTCCAATCTTCAATAGTTTTTAATGCAGTGGGTAATTTATTATACAATTTAACCGTTTGAAATTTTGCGCCATGTTTCACTATTTTTGGTTTTTTTGGACATCATTGGATATCAAACCGGTAGTTATTACATTAAAACTGTAATGTTCTTGTAATGGTGCTTATTTGTCTACAGCCTGTATATTTCTTTGAGAGGCACAATAAAGAGTTTTTATTTAGAATAAACGAATTCTTATTTGCAATATATTTGGCTCACCTGGAGGCATGAATCTCATACTGCCTATTGGCGGAGCAGCGTATGGAATACCCAGAAACATCTCCACGTACTGCAGATCATACTGCCTACTAGGCTTTACGATCAACCCCCTCAAAGCTCCTTGCCGCAAATGGTACTCCACAGTTTTCCTGCCGTCCTCATCGTTCGGGAAGCCTCGGGAGTAGTCGGCCGTCCTCGCCGCACTCCTGCCAACCATCGGCAGCAAGAGCGAGAGAACAACACAAATAAACATATTGTGATTTATATGCAAACTCGCGTGCCGGTTAGGAGCCATGTTTATGACTTTCGGCTTCTTCGTTTTATGCTCCGCGGAGCTGAAAATAGTTGGTCTTTTACTGTTTGTTTGCTCTTTACTTTATTATAGTCCGTATACATAATGAGTCATTCGTAATAACTATCTGCTTTATATATTAGTTATAGGTAATAAATCATTTTAATAATTTAATAATAAAATATACACAACACTAATTTGTAATTCACTCGCGTTACAATTCATTATAATTCGATCACAATTTAAAAACAAAAAAAAAAAAAGAAATGTCACAGGATTCACATTGTCACAGCACAATACACGTGTGGCTAAATAAAGAGAAGATCTAGAACTTCAAATAGTAGTGGTAGTTAGTAAAGATATTCACGGAGGTGTAAGCCGAATGGTAGCATTTGTGCGCTCGTCGTAAGCTAAGCGAGCGACTGGATCGAGTCCAAACTGTCCCCGCGCGACTTCAATACCAAAATACTACAGTGAATGCGACGCACATGGTACAACATTTCGAGGATAGATTTCTAAACATAATATAATTATTTTTCGATTTGTATGCTGCTAGATATGTGATCACTTCTGTATATAATCCCTAGATCGGAATTTCCCAACAGGGGGGGCAATTTGACAGTTAAGGTGGGGGATTAAAAAATGGACTAGAAACGATTTTAACCCTCTTGCTCTGGCCCATTTAAATGCAATGCTACGAGTAGATATCGGTGCCAAATTAACGAAAACAAGTAAATAACAAAAATACTGCACATACGTATTAGGCATAATTTCCATTTTTTTAGGCATAAGGCCATTAGGCATAATTTCAATTTAACCCTAAGAAGACACAAGTCTGCGCGTTTACCGTAAAAAAGACGCCGATTGTCGTATCTCCTCACTTTCAGGGCACTTCCCTTGATAAAAAGTCGAGTCTAGGAATTCTGGGCGTTGATATATACTCGTATCTTGCGACGTCCAGTTTTGCGGTCATCTGGAGGAGAAGGTTAAGATAACTTCCAAAAAGTTAGGAGTGCTCAATAGGGTAAGACGGTATTTCATGCCGGAACACCGCCTGAAATTATATAAAGCTCAAGTCAGGCCGCATATGGAATACTGTTCTCAGTTATGGGCAGGAGCGCCACAGTACCAACTCCTTCCGTTAGATCGCATTCAAAATCGGGCAGCTCGAATTATTGATAGTCAACGCCTTACTGTCCGACTTGACCCACCGATACTGCGCACAGATGTTGCATCTCTGTGCATCTTCTACTGAATTTATCATGGGGAGTGTTCTGAGGAATTGTTCGGATTGATTGATTGGAATAGAATTAAAATAGATTATAAAAAAATATTTAAATGTTATTTTCATTTGAATTTCATTATTTGTATCTCGTTAAGTTTTATAAGTAAACTTTAGTAAAGCGGATGATAAATAATATATGATAAATAATGAATATAACGGAAATATTTATTATTTAGAACTTGGTGGGAAAAAATAAGATCATATCATTCAATTTACACATAATAATATATATATATAAGATATCTATTTCTAAACTATATCAATAGTATATTTCAGTAGTTTCATGTATTAAAAAAACAAATAGAAAATTTATCTTAAGATTGCATTCCGAAAATTTATCACATTTACATCACGTTCACCGAGGGTTTTCTCGTCGCACGCGCATCATTATAGCGCGCGGACTAACCCGGGATATTTCTGTACAACACACCACGTGGTCTCCGTAAACATCCGGACAATGCCGGGATAAAAAGGAAACGATCCGGAAATATCTATAAAAATTTTAATAAAATAATAACATGTTTTTGATACAAGTTTATTAATTAATTTATAACGCTATTACACGACTCGTCGAATGAATGCTATATAGAACAAATATAGAATAGAAGAGAATTTAAGTTTTTATGTGCCTAAAAGAAAAAAAAATACCGGCTACTGGATTGTGACAAAATCGAAGTGATTTTGATTTAGAAACTAAACTACCAGAGGGAGACTTTGTACAAAAGTCGTTTGCTTGGGTACCTCCGTCCCATTCGTGTTTCAACCGTAAAGCTGTTGTGTTTGCATGGCTGTGTTTCGGTTTGAAGGGTGGGAAAAGGCAGTGAGTTTACAGGGTACAGAAGAATAACACCTGAGTCCTCAGTAAAGGCAACACAAGGGGGATATCACGGGCGAAAGAGTATATTCTGTTATGTCCATAGCACTGATCATATCTATAGGCGACGGTTACCACTTTCCATCAGGTGGGCCGTCAGCTTGTTTGCCATTCTAAGTTATATAAAAAAATCAATTTTGTTAAAATTACTATGGGACCAGTCTAAAAATCCTTTCAGATAAAAGAAGTAACTTTCCAAATCTGTTTATAAATGATGGAGTTGTGAGGCAACAAATATAAAAAATACAGCTAAATGGAGAGCCTCCTCCTATTCTGAAGTCGGTTAAAAATTCTAAAAAATGGCAGAAGTGTTCTTATTGTTTACTTATTACATGAGAGGTACAGACATGGAAGGTTACAATTTTTTTTTTTTTTATTAAGTAAATTTGAACGTAAATGAAGTTCAAAAGAAAAAAAGGAATTACTTTCAAAACTTTTTTTTAATTTAAAAGAACTTGTAAATAAATATTTTTGAATAAATATTTTCTTAATATTACCGTCTTTCAAAAACGTTCACGCTCACTTTTTTACTTTATCCGAGCATTAAGTGCTTTATATTATTCTTAATTTCGTGTATAATATAGTATATGATATATATGTGTAAGTATATTTGTTATTCATATATATTTATTTGTTTATATATGTAATGTTAGTATGTATGTATATCAATAATTAGTAGTACCGCATTCGAGTATTCTGACACTTCCCTATGGTTGACTGGGAGAGAATGCTTTTAGCATTAAGTCCACCATGTGCACATATTTGTACTAATGAATAAATAAATAAAGAATCTAAAGTAAACATATTTAGTAGTTTCATGCTAATTTTGTTACAGTTGTCCGATTATTAACAAAAAAAAAAGTTAAAGTTAATACTGGCAGCTTGGTTAGCCAACTTTTTCTGATATTCTCTTTTTAAAATACATTTTTTAAATATCTTCTTGACATCTCTTTCATGTGCGGTTTTACATTCATTAATTACGAGCATATTTCATTAAAGTGCCCAGTTTTTTGTAATAGGTAAATATATAAAACCAGTTGTATCCCGTGGCCTTCTTCATGATTTTAAATAGCTTGTTACTTTTCTCTGGAGGCTCTTCACCAAATTGCATGCATTTTTCACAGATCTGTTTCTGAAGGTCAAACTTAAGATCAGTATGTTTTATCTAATTCTAGAACTAATGAAGTCTCATGATCTCATTGGTTCTCCTGTTTGAGAACATTACGTGCAGCAGAGGGAGACTTTGTACAAAAGTCGATTGCTTGTGTACCTCTGCCCCATTCGTGATTCTACCGTGAAGCAGTTGTGTTTGCATGGCTGTGTTTCGGTTTGAAGGGTGTGATATGGCAGTGAATTTACAGGGTACAGAGGAATAACACCTGAGTCCTCAGAAATGGCAACGCATGGGGCGGGTATCATGGGCGAAATAATATACTCTGTTACGTCCATGGTACTGCTCATGTCTATAGGCGACGGTTACCACTTCCCATCAGGTGGGCCGTCAGCATGATTGCCATTATAAGTTGTATAAAAAAAAAACGAAATAGATGGCGCAAAACTAATGTAAAACATAAAGTAAATAATTTATATTAATATATAGAAAATAGATGTAGCATTTCACAACGATGAGTCAGCGTTTAAATTGACATACATTGTTGATTCCGTCGTTTCTCGTGTCGTTTCTTTGCCATGCTACAAAGGGATATTTTAGTAACTAACTAGTTACGTTCCTGTACCACTTGTGACATTGAGCGAAAGAGAAGAGAATTTCCTACGAGATATTTTTAAAAGTATTTCGTTTGGACATTCCATTCGACTCGATATTTAGCTTCGTGCAACTAGAATGTTACTTTTATTTTATTTTTATTTTTATGCAACTGTGAATGGCATACAAGATAACGGCCCACCTGATAGAAAGTGGTAACCGTTGCCTAAAGACATGAGCAGTACTTTGGACATAAGAGAGTGTTCTGTTTCGCCCATGATACCCACATGCGTTGCCATTCCTGAGGACTCAGGTGTTATTGCTCTGTACCCTGTAAATTCACCACCATATCCCACCGTAACAAAATAGCGTTTTCTATATAATAATAATAACGTTTTAAAGTAATATTAAATTATAACAATAATAATCACGTCACTGCTAATTGTTATTACATTAATAACAATTCAGCATTAGAGATTATTTATAGTTTTAGAATTCTTCAACATTATAGAAGAGTGGCGACCGCGTACCGGTAAACGCAGTGTAGGACGACCACCCAACTAGATGGAGTGACGACCTGAAATGCATTGCAGGGAGTCAATGTCTCAGGTTCGTTCTTATGGCAGTCTATGGGAGAGGTTTATGTCCAACAGTGGACGGATAATGGCTGAAAATGAATGTGTTGGAATCAAAATGCGCTGAAATTGTTTTAAATAATTAATTTCAAGAAAAGAGCATATTCCTTTTTAAAAGGCCGGCAGCACACCTGCAACACCGTAGGTGTTGTGGGTGATCATGGGCGGCGGTAGTCACTTACCATCAGGTGAGTCGCATGCTCGTCTGCCCCCTGTGTTGTACAAAAAAAAATTATTCTACAAGAATGAGAAATTCACAGTGCCTCGTATGAAAGTTGATGGAGGAAGAGAGAACGGAAACAGATCGCCGTGTTGCAATGCTACATTAATCAGTGTTTCCATATACAAAATTTACATTGTCAGTTTATAGTTTTAAAATAAAAAATATTTTATGTTAAAATATAATATTGTATATTAACAAGTGAATAGAAGCAATTCTCAACAAGCCAGTCTTTCAGTTTCTTTTAAAATGAATTTATATTGCTTGCATATCTCCAATCAAGGGTAATGTAGGATAACAACAGCTGAGTTTGTTACCTATTTTTAGTAGCCGAATTGGGCTAAAGAATCATAAAAAAAAAGAAATCCCTGTTAAAAAACGCTTAAAATCACGTTTATTTTGGATAAAAATTATTTATATTCTCTTCTATTCTATTTTATGTTAGAAAGTTGAAAATTCTATTATGTTACACAATTTGGGTGTAAGCCAGAATTGAATTGACGACCTTTGGCATCCATAAATATGGGTTCGTAGTGAACTATTAAATTCTCAAATGTATTGGAGCAAATATTTTGCTTAAATACAAATACAGAAATACGTATTGTATCCAGTATTTATGTGACTACAAAATGTAATTATATTTAACTAGCGACCCGCTCCGGCTTCGCACGGATGCAATGCTGATACTAACAATGTCTTTTACAGTATGGGAGAATATTATGCCTACACATCCCAA